CAACTACTCATCATCAAGATCCTAACCGCATATGAATTTCTATCTATCACTGCCTAAATCATGCATAATCAAGAAATTCACCAACCTGTGTTCAAGCTTGCAACATAAGTGGTTCTTGCACGATTCAACCTCCACAAAAATTCAGATTCACTCCAAATTTCCCTCTAAAGCTAATGCACACCTCAAATTGGCTTGGTTCTTCCTTGAATTGAAAATTCGATCTCAGCTTGCATTCATGAAACTTTGATCTCCCTCTCTGCAACCAGCTTCAATTCCTACCAAAAAAAGCACTGAACTCACTCAATGACTTATATAGAAGTGATTAGACTCATCTAGAAACTTCTGGATCCATCCAAATGAGATTTTGGATTTTCAATTTCTCCTCCAAATATCATTCATGGCATATGCAATATCTCCTCTGTTTGGGCCTCAGCAAACTTGGTTTTCACTCCTCATGAGCTAAGGAATTGAATGGTGATGATTGTTTCCTTGTTTGCAAGCCAAAGGTGTGAGTTGGATATGTTGCTTCATCATGAAGAAATGAAATGGAATGTTATTCAAATGACCTCAAATCAAAATTCTAACATTGCCATTGTTTCTAAAATCATTTTTCCAATCAATTTGACCTATAATTTTGTTTCATTTGGTCACAAAATGAATTATTTGAATTTTTGGCCATTAAATCCTTTTAATTCTTTCTTTTTCAAAATTTCTTGAACCAAGCCTCTCCTTGAGCCATTTCAATGCCTCCTTGATTCATGGTCAAGGTTAAAACACCATTTTGAGAAACTTTCTAGTTGAACAAAATTCCATTTGAGACCTCTAAGTTGGTGAAAATGGCCTATGATCACAAATGACCTATAATCACCAAATGTCCAAAATACCCTTGACTTGTCAAAGCCATAACTTGAGTTCTACAAATCCTATCAAGGACTTATAGTACTCTCTAGAAATATAAGAGAATATGGAACAACATTCATGTTGACCAAAAGTTCATAGGAATCATCTTTCTAGGGAAAACGTTTCATGCAAGTTGGGTAACTTTCAAGCTCCAAGTTCACATACCTCAGATGACTTGTAGCTTGTCAAACCCATAACTTGAGCTCTACACATCCTATCAAGGACTTATAGTACTCAAATTAAAGCTAAGATCATGCTCTACAACAATTATGTTGGGGGTAAGATGAGATGACAATCACATCTTGAGCTGAATTGCCTTGAAGATAGGGGTCAAACTAGGGGATTTTACACTGTCAAGCCTTAGAAACCCTAGCTTGAAACTTCTCAAACTCTTCAATCATGATGAGTTAACCTTGGAATCATCCTTATAACATATTAATGCATCAATCCATGATCAAATGGATCTTGGATTAGGTCTCAACCTTCTCCAAATCATCAGTTGACTTAGGGTTGACCCAGTAAAACCCTAATTGCACCAATCATGGCTGAGGCTTCTTAATCTTGCACAATGACTTGTCTAGGCCCCAAAGTGATCTTCAACACTTCTCATGAGCTATCTCAAGACCTCAAGTCCATCTTCATGGCCTCAGAATCATCTGATGGTCTTCCCCATAACTCTCAAGTTAGGAGACCCACATACTTGGTTTCAACCACTCTCTCTGAGGATCCTTTAACTTCTCTGATAAGGATATCAACCCTTGAACATCTGAATAACCTTCTTATCTAGTTTCAAAGTTTTGTATAGCTCTTAATTGGTAATCATACCTCTTGATCTCCTGCACACATGTCAATGAAATGCAAATGATAATGCTAATGTGAATGAAGTGAAACATAAGCTAGGTAAAGAAATGTTGGGCAAATTTTGGGGTGCAACAGCCTCCACCGAGCGGGGGATCTCAAGTCAGCTTAGTAAGGACTACTCTACGTGAGCCAACAAGACTATACCACCCTCCTATCATAAGTGCACTCAAGTCTGGGTATAGGACTTATCTCACCATACAAATTTCCAAGCACTAAAACAGAATAGGCAATAACAAACAAGTCAAACGAAAAGCGATAAATAACTCAAAGTAGGTGAAACCCACTAGGAACCTAAATGTCCCCAGCAGAGTCTCCACTTTTCTGTAGCGGTAAAAATCATGAGTGTAAGTTATTGATTAACTTAACTCAAAAACAAGAGTCGCCACCGCACTTTTATTTTATCCAAAAAGGAAAAGAAAAAGAGCGAACAAAACCAAAGAGTTCTAAAACAAGAACAAGAAACAGAGATCGGGGTAAGGAGGTTGGTTATGCAATGGGAAGGTGCTAGCACCCAAAACGTCTATAGTACTCTATAGGAGTCCTTTGAAATATTTAGGCTTTTTGGTTTGAAAATTTTTCTTTAAAAAGATATTGGGGAGATGAGAAGAGAATTATGTTTTAAGATTTTTGTGTTTGGAGAGACTTATCGCCTCATGCCTACGTATCCACAAAGTGCAATATAGGATCAAAACCTCGTAGTTCGTGGTACAAATAACAAAAATTTGTTGGTTTTTGATTGATTTTAAATGTAAAGACAAGTCGTCATTTTAAGGAGAAAACTACGACTAGTCGCCCACAAGTATAAGACAACATTTGCGTCACCTAAAGATGGAGGATTTGCTTGGATTATCAACAAGTCTATCACTCAACATCAAAGTGGAAAATGTAAACATCTTAAAACTATGGGGAATAGGAGAATTATATCTTAACTATGGAAATGACTTATGTCTAAACTTTATGAAAAGTTTTAAAGTGAAAAGTGCATAAAGGCACAAAAAGAGTTGATGAGCTTTGTTTGTATTTTGATGTCTTTTGAAATTGGTCAAAGCATGATTAACATTGATTGACTTTTATTAAGAAGAACAGAGTTTGAAAATCACTTGACAAAAGTCAAGGTTTTTATTATGAAAGCGGTTTTTGAAGTTTGAAAACAAGAAGGTTTTGAAAGAGGGAGAAGATTTTGAAAATTTAAGAAGGGGAGGAGATGAAGTGACTACCCTAGAAAACAAAATAAAAGCTAGAGATAATAAAGACCTAACCAACATGTAGCACACTCCATAGCAAGCAAAAAGAATTTCATCCGATTTAAATCATAAGCTAATGAACGAGCCAAATAAAGGCCGAGATCCACAACACTCCAAGCATAGGGAAGAGAGTCCTAATTCTAAGTCCAAGTGTCCAAGAATGGTCCAAAAGCATAACCACCAAGTTAATAGCACCATGTTTTTTAGATGTTTGGATCCTTTATTAGTGTTTTGAACAAGATATGGTACAAGTGGACAAAAGAGAAATGACATAAACATAAAAAAAAATATGATATGAAATGATAATATGGAAGCATAAAAGTAAAGAGGTAAGGAGTAAGAAGAAAATATAAACAAAATTATACAAGGATGTTATTAGTGAAATAGTGATTACTGGTTAGAACATATGATCAACGATGGTTAGTTCTTGAACTTAGACCAAGGTTAACGAAAACTCATTAGAGGATTGATAGAATCAAAGCCTCCTAACAATGAGTTTCATAGGTAGTGGACTTAAGACAAGCAACCAACCATACATGGACTGTTAAACATAAGTTTGAGCCACGAATGATCATTTTCCGATTACGGGACACTTTAGCGCTATGTTAAGCAATCGTAATCGAGTTTATGTAGAAACCACGACTATCTGAGGCCGGTCAATAATAATGTTAGTGTTAACACATGTTAGAGAAGTGATATGTAAATCACTCTCCTAAAACATGCCACACAAAAAGAAAAGAGGTAGTGATCTCATCATAATCAAGATATTTCATCGGTTAATTAAAGGGTAATCTATCTCTATTCCAAAGTATGAAGAATTATCTCAATGATTATTCATCCATAGATTTGAAATAATGAAGATTAAACAACCTTGATAATCAACAATCCATGATCCATAGATTTCATCGTTCAAAAGAAAAAGAAGAAGAAGAAAGAAGTCAAGATGAAAAGAAACAATGATTTGAACCTTAAATCGATCAAATCATCATCAATATCAATCACCTCTCTTGGTGGATAAAATCGATACCCAAAGTCCATTGATATTGATGAGATCTTATCAAAATTCAAGATCCAAAACAAAAATTTTTTTGAGAAATTATTTCAAAAGAAAAACAAATATTAGAAAAATTATTAAAAGAAAATTGAATGAAAAACTATAAAAAAAAAGAGGTTTACAACAAAAAAATGATAGTGAAAAGGCCACACGGCCCAAGATCTGTTTTAAAAAAGATTTTAAAATAAAATAAAGAGTAAAGTGAATTGAATCAAAGTTATAGAACTTCATCATCTTCTTCATGATACGCGACAACATTCACAGCCATGGATATTCGGAGTTCTTCATAAATTGGAGCGACGGGATACAAAAATCACACGGAATGGATCGAAATCAAGAGCTCTTCACAACAGTACCAACAGAAATACAACAAAAAGTAACCGATCGAAAATGACGATAAAGCTCAAACTACCTTCAAATTCAGGTAAACGGTGAAACATAAATTCTCTTCTTCTTCTTCTTCTTCTTTGAATCTGGTGTTGTGTGATGTTGAAATGCGTTGCAGAAAAATTACGAGATGTGGTTGTTATAGTTTGAAGCTATTGTGAATTGATGGAGTTGTTGTTGCAATTTCTTTTTGAAGAATTTTCAAGACTTGTTTGAATTGGAGGATATATGAACAAGAAAAGTGAAGAACAACGAATTTGGAATTGATGGAGGTAGCTCGGTTAAAGCTTGAAGATGAGTATTGGTGAGTTTTCTGCAGATATTTTTTGGCTTTTCAAGCTTGCGAAAATGGGTGACGTATGTGTTGTATTTATAGATGAGAGTGAGTGAAAAATGATTTGCCGTTTGTGTATTTTTCCTGCGTTTTGGTTACTACAAGTTATGCGTGACCTGTGGTTGTATTTTTTCACGTCGTTTTGATTTTTCTCTTTCATCTTTTGTTATAATTTGAATGTGACGTGGATTCTTACTTTTTGATTTCAGCTCAGATTTAATTATATGACGTGGATTGTTTTCAACATGTGACTTGAATGTACAACCGACTTAGAAGTACGGCCCAGTGTGATGAACATTCGCAGATTCCAAAAGTACTTTAAATGCATTTTTGCTTCCAGCTTATTTGCATATACAAAAGTTTCACCATCATTGGTTTTCTCCTCTGAAGGAGTCGCATTAGTTTGTCCAACTACAGGAAATCCTCTTTTGGCTTCCTCCACATCTTGAAGAGGAGCTCTATTGAAAGAAGTAGTAGAATCACGAGTTGCCTGATTATCAGCAATGGATGGAATTTTTGAATCAACTGTGTTGGCTGCTGCTATTCCTGAGCTTCCTGTGACTATTGTGGGTGCAGTGCTCACAGTTATAACAGTGCTTGGTTCAACTCCTGTGATGTTTGAAGTAACTACCGAATTGGAAACAGAGGTACCCGATAAACCAGAAACCAACCATTGATGATCAGTGGCTATAATTAGTGTAATAGAAGATGGGCTTAAAGCAAGACCGTTAGATGTTAAAGTGTTGGAATTAGTTGCATTAGCTGGTGTTGGCGTTGCGGCAGAAGCGGCAAAAGTGTTGGATGTATCACTGGCATTTGACACCATTCACTGGCTAATAGTTTTATGTGCTTTCTCACGAGCCATCTTGAGTTCTTCTGGTATTGTCCATGTGGATTTATGAGTAATCTTATTGAAGTAATACTTTCTTCCATATGAAGTAGTGAACTCTTTCCAGACAGTTGATGCGTCAGTCCTCTCAAGAGGTGACATCAACTCCAAAGGTTTTTCCCAACTAGATTGCCTTGTAGTCTTGTTGTAGTAGCAACATGTTCTATCCAATAAGATGCAGAGTTCGGGTTAGTGGTATTAGCTGCAATATCACTTTAGGAAGTACCAGATGATTGAATTCCAGCCTGCTGTACTGATGTAACTGCTGCAGCACTCTGAGGTACTGAGGACGACCAAGGAATTTGCGGGCTGCATCAGGGCCAACCCAAATGACAATGAGTGAGACTTCTAGTGCCTTTTTGCAAATAAGATTTATCTGATTAGGAATAACCAGATTGAAGACTTGTTTCCCACTCCACACTGGTTATGATTTTAATATTGTAGGAGCAGGAACTTTCCCATCAAAAACTTCCCACCACATCAATATATTCATAAAAACATCTTTTGGAATGAATGTACCTCTTTTAATGATTTTCCTGCACCCTAAAAATGAATCCTGGACAGTTCCGATTACTGACCTGTTTGCCTGCGGCAACACGGTGCATTTAGGCATCATCATCAGCTCCAACATCTCAACTTGGTTCCAAATGATTGAAAAACATGCATGATCATTTTGTAACCGTCAAAATCGGCATTGTATGGTGAGGTAACAAACAAGTTAAGCCGAATAGTAGAATAAGGCATAATTTTGATTTGGTGCCCCATGATAGACATCTTATGAAGACTATGCGGACGATTGAAGAGAATAAAGTTTCCATCATTCAAATGACGCTCTACCTTATATCCAAACTCCAATTGGTGGTCGCTACAAATCTGAGGAAGATACGGTTTTACTATCTGCCCGAGCAAGTTTACAAACACACCAAACCCACTAAGCATCACATAAGCATCATCACTGGTCTACATATAGAATACCATCAATCAAAAGCTCTTCCAACCGTGCATCTATATTAGTGACCACCTTCTCAATAGTTTCCACGACCATTCTCCTCAGGTTCACTCTCATCTTGTAATACAATATTTATAGCAAACGTGTTTTCCCACTCAAACTCTGCCCACATAGTTCTAAAGGCCACATCAGCACAAGATGCAGGAGCACTATAGTCCATGATATCAATGTGGAGAGCATTAAGAACAATAACTGTTCTCTCAAGAACATTCGATCATGTTTCAAAAACTATGTTACCGAATATAAACTCCAGTTTCAGTTGAAGAAACCTTGATGTTGGCTTTAATTTATTTGCTTGATCTGGAGCCAGGGTATAGTTTTATGGATGCTCAACAAGTTTGAGATCACCCATAGTTGCTAATTCCAAACATAAATTTTGGAGAGTTTCCTTGGTTCGGTTGATGACAGTAACATCTAGGACAATGTCATAATGATGAACTGTGACACATGCTTCAGCATAAACAGGACCACTGAATCCCGTGAGCTGAAGAATGCGGTTGAGTTTATTTGCATCATCTGCATCCTTTGTAAACTCTCTAGTAGGACGTTTGCGATCATCCTAAACCTCATCTTCCAACTCAAGTTGGCTCATGCCCTTTCTGCTCTTCAAATGGTAGAAATTAATAAGGTCATCAGGCTGTGCATTAGAAATTTGAGCCTTTGCTTTAATCTCCTCTGTCTCACGGCGCTGCTTATTAGTTCCTGCAGAAATGCACTAGCAGCTTTTCTATATGAAATGTCAGAAAAGTTAAAATAGCACCAAGCAAAAGCAGCTGCCAGCATGTAAATCGATGGTTTGACCCAGCATCGATATTAACTCTAACCAACTCTATGTAATCATCAACTGTAGCAGGAGGGATTTTTCTAGAAGATCGCTTTTATGCTTCCGCAGCATATACTTCTGCTTTGGTACCCGCTGTGGCTGCAACATCAGAACTTAATTTTTTGCTCATACTTAACTCATTTGGTTCATGAACCTAGTTCAACGATTTAATTGTCGAATCGAATTCCGAACTATTTTCGAGTTGGTTCGATTCATTGCCAGCCCTAAGCCTAAGGCATGTGCTTCTGACTGCAAATGCTTGTAAACAATTCTCGAATAAAGAGCAGCCTCTACTTCTTTAGTAACTTTCTAGTTGACTGTTAATAACAGAAGCCATCTTATTCAAACTTAGTTTCACATCACTCATTAAGCAATTCAATCATTTTTGAATGACAATATCCAAGCTTGTCATAGAGTTCACTATTTTTGGCTTTGAGGTGAATATCTTCTGACCGGAAGACTTCGGAAAATCTAATCCTAGAGGCAATGAACGAATTGGAGAGTCTGAGACCAAAACATGCTCTGTAGTAGTTATCAGATTATTGCTAGATAGTGTAATTGTTGCTGTAGCAGCTAGATGTATTGTATTCTCTTGATACAGTTTCATGCCAGGTTCTCTTCCAGTTGAATCATCTATAAAAATGGAGAATTCACACTTTTGTGGCTGATGCTATCAGGAGTAAGTTGCTGCAAATTTTCAGTCTGACTCGGTTTATAAGTTTCATTGATTTGGTCCACATGATGATATGATCTTGCTATCAAGTCATTAGTTTTAGTATTTGCAGTATTCAATTGATCACGTGGAGCTTGATTACTAAGGACAGACACTTCAGATAAGGCTGTAATGATGTCATCATGTTTTCTTTTACTCATAGCAACGAAATTGTTAGGAGTTGACTGAACATGTCTTGGTGAATCAGATGAATATTAATCAATTGTCCTTGAAACCCGGGTAGCTTGATTGTGCCAAGCACTGTGAGCAGATGTTGGTTGTCTTCCACTTGTATCACCCTTTAAAGATTTGTGCGCTCTGAGTATGAACTCCTGGCCCGTTGAACCCTTGATAACTTTGAACTTGGGAAATATTAGATGATGATGAATGCTTTAAATTTTCAAGTAACTTGTATTCCATGTAAGCCATATGCATGTCTCCTCCAAACCTAACATGAATCAAATTCTTGAATAAAACAAATTATTAAGAAATTGATGCCATCATGAACCCAAAGATCAATACCTTCAATCATGCTTTAGAATCACTTGGAAATGACACACATGAATGAACACTTTGTACTTGCATCCCAAAACAAACATCTTGACTGAATATCCACCCAACTTTACTTATACAGACAAATTTCTGTATCTCCGGTTCAAACTGAAGCACTTAGAATTTATCTGAATTAATCTATGGGAAAATAAATCCACAGATGAACCATTGATGCACTCTTAATCATGATAACTTGGACCAAACTTCTCATAGAACACTGCTTGATAAACCAATGGATTTTGACACAAGACAATTTGACCTTGAATAATCACATTTCCTGAGAAAATAACCCACTACCACGGGTAACTTATAATTGAAGCAAACTCTTGATAGTTTGACCAAGATGAGGTCAAAATTCCATCTGATTTAGATTTGAATGAATGTCCTTGCCATCAATCTCCTTGCAAAACCCTAAACATACAGAGAAGAAGAAGAAACAAGCAAATTGAAAAATATTTTTGGTATTTTGATTAGAGGTCAGTAAACATAAACAACAAAGAGCAAGTAAGAAACACACAAGGGTGTCGGGAGAACCATAAAGTATGATCTTGTTTGTGTATGCAATGATGCAAATGGAATGTGGGATCTTAGGGGTAAAAATTAGGGTATTACAAGGTTGTCACCCAAAGAAGCAGAGCAGTGCAGCCCAGAACCCTCGATTAGGGTTTCTGATTAGGAAAAGTCAAATGTGGTTTGAATTTTGATTTAAATGGTACTAAAATGGTGGAATAATGGTCCATAAGGCTTATATGTCTTAGTGAAGTCCACTCAAGAAGTTTCAAGACCACAGAGGACCCAGAACACCAATAGTCAATTCGGGGATTTTCGATCGATCGATTCGTCTGACGGAAAAGTCAACTCATTGACCAAAAGGGTTTTGACCCAAAATTGAAAGAAATCATGTTCCTAATTTTATATTACATCTATTCACGAAGTTTTATGACCATTGGATCAAGGATTGAGAAGTAATCGAAAAGTCGGGAAATTAGGGTTTTGAAAGGGGCAAGATCATAACTTTTTAACCACACATCCAAATGGAGTGGTTCAAAGCTTGTTGGGAAGGATTTGACAAGTTCTACAAAAGTGTAAAAGTGACCCATATGCAAAAAATGGATAGATTGGGAGTTATGATCAAAATCAATACAATAGGGAAAAACACTTAGTGAAATTTCACATTTTTAGCACATTTCAAGTCATGTTTTCAGCCAACTTCAAGAGTGCTTTTGACCTAGTTCCACTTGGAATTTGAAAATTTCCAAAACACAAAAGTTGTAGAGTATGATGAGGGCTTTCCTAAAAGTACAAGGACTTCTCCATAGAATTTTTAGCTAGGGGTTTCGAAGGAGGCAAGTTGGGTCCAAACACTTGAAATGCACCATGTCAAACTTAGCATAAACCAACTTCTCAACTATTCAATTGATTTTTTAATCATGGTTTAACATCTTATCTGATGTATAAGATTGTATGATGATTAAAATTAGAAGAATCTATGAGCAAAGCCAAGGATTTGTGCAAGATCATTATTTAAATGCAAGAAAATACAAAAGTACAAGAGGAGAGAGATTGCTTTTCTGCTACAGCATGAAGGATCTACCTTTTCCATCCCTATTGTGACTTCCCAATAGCTCAAACACAGCTGGTTTTGAGGCTAGCACGCATTGGAAGTAAGCAAAAGATCTGTAGAAGAAATCACAATTTGATTTGCTAAGATTCTTCCTCTAAAGAGACAAAATGCAAGCCATATTTCAAAATCTGTCCAAGCCTTTACCTTGCCTATAAATATAGGCCTTCTCTATGCATAGTACACAAGAACAATCCTAAAGAAATCAGAAGAAAACTCA